AACTTAAAAAAAGTTACATTCAAATATTTCAAGACACATCACTTAAACAACGAGATATTGTAGCAAAAGGTGATATGGCATGCATTCTGCCAGAAGGTGGAGCTCAGGATCCATCCTAGTTCTGTCTCAGTTCAGTTGTTTAAAAACAGAGCAGACAAACATTGAATCAGTCACACTTTAGAAGAGAACTGTCTTGTCCTCTTGTCTAGACAAGTCTTGACTCTCAAAGTTATTGTCTCTCATTAGTACAGATGCTGCTCCTCGTATTCATTACCTTTTCTCTCCTAAAAGGTAAGTGATTCAAAGCAATTACTGTGGAAATGCTTTTTTCTGCTTTTTATACTGTTGACAATCTGATTAGAAATGATTCATTAAAACATTGTTTGTTTTAAACAGAGACTGCTGGTGAAGATGTCATAAAACCAGTCTTTACAGAGAAGCATGTTTTGGCAGGAAAAGATGCTACACTGATCTGCAACTACACTGGAAGTGTGCAGAATTTGCAGTGGTACCGTCAGTATCCCGGAACCAAACCTGAGCACATCATCATGTTCTTTGAGACCATCCCCAAATCAGAGCCCGCTCTCCGTCTGACCGCTGCAGCTGATAAAGCAGCCAAAACTATGAATCTGACGATCTCTTCTACAGAAGTGAAAGACTCTGCCACGTACTACTGTGCCCTGGTGCCCACAGTGTCAGGAAACACAACTACACTGTACAAAAACAGAGTGAGAAAGGATATTTAAGACTTTTAAAACTGCACTCTTTATAAAGTGGACAATCAATTGTTACCTTTTGGAATAGTTTTCAAACACATGTACAGTACAATTGGTAGTGTCCTCCTCACCATTAATATTATCAGACCACTTCTTAAAAAAGATATGAATAGTTGTTTGATGTTTGAAACATTTAAATATCTGACCTGTGCCACTGCAATGTTTGTATAATAGTAGCTTATTTATATATTGTCTGTACTTGTAGGGTAAAATAAGCATGTAGGTATGTGTGGGAGGAGCTCAAGATTTTGTCAACTTCAGTGGAAGAAATCAAAAAGACATCACTGACTTTCCTTCATACAGATCCTGATAGAAGTCTGAACTCAAAAGAAACAGAAACATGTTTCTCATCTCATCCGTTTTCATTTTTATCCTCAGTTACTGTGAGTATCGTTAGTCTTACAATGCGATACACATTTGCACCGTTTTCCAGAACATCACTAAAAATAAATCAAAAGTGTGCATTTTTTTATTCTTAACATAATCATTACAGTCCTTGATTCTTTAAAGGGATAGTTCACCCAAAAAGGAAAATTAGCCCATGTTTTACTCACCCTCAAAGCATCCTAGGTGTATATGTCTTTCTTCTTTCAGACGAATCAAATCTGAGTTATATCAAAAATTATCCTGGCTCTTCCAAGCGTTAGAATGGGAGTAGGCGGGTGTTTTTTTCAACAGTCCAAAAGACATCAAATAAAGCGTGCGCATCCATAATAAAACATGCCTCACACGGCTCCGGGGGGTGAATAAAGGCCTCCAGTAGCGAATCGATGCATTTTTGTAAGAAAAATATCCAGATTTAAAATGTTATAAACATTTTTATCTCACTTCTGCTGACTGTCATACCAGCACGCCGTTCTGGGCGGATGACACAAGACGTATGCGTCGCGCATGCGCCTGTGAGATATGCTAGTCTCGCAAGTTTGTTTACAGGAGCAAAGGAAGCAAAGTTTCCTTACTTTACCAAAGGAAAACCAGTCTCTTCTTGGCTTATATCGAAATCCTCCTACATTTTTCTTTAGAAATCCTCGTTTTGTGCTGCTAATTTGTGACCGGCGTTTTGTTTTGCTGTCTCTCCTCCGTGCTTCCGTGTTTGTCACTTCTCATCGGTGCGTGCGCGATGCATACGTCTTACGTCATCCGCCCGGAACGGCTTGCACGTGTGACAGTCAGCAGAAATGTTATGGTACCATTTACTTGTTAATTTTTGTAAACTTTTGTATACTTGTCAACTTTGCTTGACTGACTGTTAGAATTGTGCTACTTGATTTCTTTGCACAGTAAACAAATGTTACAATCAGTTGGATCTCTCTGGACAGTGACAGTTTTCATAACTTAAAAAAAGTTACATTCAAATATTTCAAATATTTGCTCAATTAATCATTTCATTCTTCTTACTATAAAATTTACTAGGCCAAAGGTTTTCAGTAAGCTTTTATGTGTTGTTCAAAACACACCGCTTAAACAAGGAGATATTGTAGCAAAAGGTGATATGGCATGCATTCTGCCAGAAGGTGGAGCTCCAGGATCCATCCTAGTTCTGTCTCAGTTCAGTTGTTTAAAAACAGAGCAGACAAACATTGAATCAGTCACACTTTAGAAGAGAACTGCAAGTCTTGACTCTCAAAGTTATTGTCTCTCATTAGTGCAGATGCTGCTCCTGGTATTCATTACATTTTCTCTCCTAAAAGGTAAGTGATTCAAAGCAATTACTGTGGAAATGCTTTTTTCTGCTTTTTATACTGTTGACAATCTGATTAGAAATGATTCATTAAAACATTGTTTGTTTTAAACAGAGACTGCTGGTGAAGACGTCATAAAACCAGTCTTTACAGAGAAGCATGTTTTGGCAGGAAAAGATGCTACACTGATCTGCAACTACACTGGAAGTGTGCAGAATCTGCAGTGGTACTGTCAGTATCCCAGAACAAAACCTGAGCACCTCATTTTATACATTGAAACCATCCCCAAATCAGAGCCCGCTCTCCGTCTGACCGCTGCAGCTGATAAAGCAGCCAAAAGTATGAATCTGACGATCTCTTCTACAGAAGTGAAAGACTCTGCCGTGTACTACTGTGCCCTGCAGCCCACAGTGACAGGAAACACAACTACACTGTACAAAAACAGAGTGAGAAAGGATATTTAAAACTTTTAAAACTGCACTCTTTATAAAGTGGACAACCAATTGTTACCTTTTGGAATAGTTTTCAAACACATGTACAGTACAATTGGTAGTGTCCTCCTCACCATTAATATTATCAGACTACTTCTTAAAAAAGATATGAATAGCAAAATAATGTTTGAAACATTTAATATCTGTACTGTGCCACTGCAATGTTTGTATAATAGTAGCTTATTTATATATTGTCTGTACTTGTAGGGTGAAATAAGCATGTAGGTATGTGTGGGAGGAGCTTAAGATTTTGTCAACTTCAGTGGAAGAAATCAAAAAGACAACACTGACTTTCCTTCATACAGATCATGATAGAAGTCTGAACTCAAAAGAAACAGAAACATGTTTCTCATCTCATCCATTTTCATTTTTATCCTCAGTTACTGTGAGTATCGTTAGTCTTACAATGCGATACACATTTGCACCGTTTTCCAGAACATCACTAAAAATAAATCAAAAGTGTGCATTTTTTTATTCTTAACATAATCATTACAGTCCTTGATTCTTTAAAGGGATAGTTCACCCAAAAAGGAAAATTAGCCCATGTTTTACTCACCCTCAAAGCATCCTAGGTGTATATGTCTTTCTTCTTTCAGACGAATCCAATCTGAGTTATATCAAAAATTATCCTGGCTCTTCCAAGCGTTAGAATGGGAGTAGGCGGGTGTTTTTTTCAACAGTCCAAAAGACATCAAATAAAGCGTGCGCATCCATAATAAAACATGCCTCACACGGCTCCGGGGGGTGAATAAAGGCCTCCAGTAGCGAATCGATGCATTTTTGTAAGAAAAATATCCATATTTAAAATGTTATAAACATTTTTATCTCACTTCTGCTGACTGTCATACCAGCACGCCGTTCCGGGCGGATGACACAAGACGTATGCGTCGCGCATGCGCCTGTGAGATATGCTAGTCTCGCAAGTTTGTTTACAGGAGCAAAGGAAGCAAAGTTTCCTTACTTTACCAAAGGAAAACCAGTCTCTTCTTGGCTTATATCGAAATCCTCCTACATTTTTCTTTAGAAATCCTCGTTTTGTGCTGCTAATTTGTGACCGGCGTTTTGTTTTGCTGTCTCTCCTCCGTGCTTCCGCGTTCGTCACTTCTCATCGGTGCGTGCGCGATGCATACGTCTTACGTCATCTGCCCGGAACGGCTTGCACGTGTGACAGTCAGCAGAAATGTTAGGGTACCATTTACTTGTTAATTTTTGTAAACTTTTGTATACTTGTAAACTTTGCTTGACTGACTGTTAGAATTTTGCTACTTGATTTCTTTGCACAGCAAACAAATGTTACAATCAGTTGGATCTCTCTGGACAGTGACAGTCTTCATAACTTAAAAAAGTTACATTCAAATATTTGCTCGATTAATAATTTGTTACAAATTTGTTGGAAAAGATGTTACACTGATCTGCAACTACACTGGAAGTGTGCAGAATTTGCAGTGGTACCGTCAGTATCCCGGATCCAAACCTGAGCACCTCATTTTATACCTTGAGACCATCCCCAAATCAGAGCCCACTCTCCGGCTGATAAAGCTGCCAAAAGTATGACTCTGACGATCTCTTCTACAGAAGTGAACGACTCTGCAGGGCTCTACGCTTATTTTTCTTTTTAGGAGCGCTTGTGCTCCTAACTTAAAAAATTTAGGAGCACAGTCAAAAATTTAGGAGCACTAAAATTTGATAAAAAAATAGCCTTCCCATTACGAGGTGATATTTGACTCCTTAAAGTGATTTACAGTAGAATTTTGTTTTTACCTTTGTAATGGCATTTTTCTATCTTTATTAAAAGTATGTAATCTTTTGTCAAAAAAATTTTTTTTAAAATGTATAAGCTTTTTAAAAATTCTAGATAAAACCATATAATAAGAACAAGTAGAATAAGAAGAATAAGTTACTAATCAAATGAAATCAGTATTAAAAATAATTTGTACAGCGGTAGCACAGAAGAACACAAAAGTGGCTTGTAGGTGTATTTTCAGACATTTAATGAGGATCAGAGGTGGCATGAGTGCAATTAAATCCATAAATTCATGTTTATTAATGAATTTAATGATTAATGATTAAATGTTTTAAAAAATGTTGAATATAGAAATATTAAAGGGGTCATATGATGCTTTTTTAAAGATCATTATTTTGTGTATTTGGTGTAACAGAATATG